CGCTCGCCGACGCGTCCCCGCTGCCCTCGTCCAGCCGTCGCTCGCCGCCCGGCCCCGAGGGCGCCAAAGCGCCCGGCCCGCAGCTGCTCTCGTCCCTGTGCCTGCCCCCGCACGGCATGGAGCTGAAGGGCGACGCCCACTACGCCTTCAACCACCCCTTTTCCATCAACAATCTCATGTCGTCGCCCGAGCAGCACAAACTGGACCTGAGGTCCCCGCTGCCCTCGTCCAGCCGCCGCTCGCCGCCCGGCCCCGAGGGCGCCAAAGCGCCCGGCCCGCAGCTGCTCTCGTCCCTGTGCCTGCCCCCGCACGGCATGGAGCTGAAGGGCGACGCCCACTACGCCTTCAACCACCCCTTTTCCATCAACAATCTCATGTCGTCGCCCGAGCAGCACAAACTGGACCTGAGGGCCTACGACGCCCTCCAGTACTCGTCCTACGGCGCCGGGAGGGGCGGCGATCCGCTGGAGGCACCCTACTACCAGGGGGCCTGCGCCAGAGCGCTGCTCAACACCTCCTAGGGCGGCGGCGGGGGGGCGGGGGCCGCAAACTTTGGGGCTTGACTTCAAAACCACCATCTAAAAAGGACGCCGAGCCGGGAAAAGCTACCTTCCCTTTTCCCACATTGTGGGCGCATTTCCTGCCTTTTTTCTTGCCTTTTCACTGTCATTGGTTTTGGGGCCGCGGGGTCTCGCGCTGCGCGGACACCCTCAAGCCTCCAGGACCGCTCGACATGTCCCAGTCGCCCTGGTCCAACGGAGCAGGCAGGGGGCCGCGCACCGTCCACGACGCCATCCGTCACCCCTTCACCCGCAACCTTCTCACTTTCGTCCCGGCGGCGGCAACGTAAACTGGACCCGAGGCACCACCGCAGGCGCCTTACTACCTGCCTCGCGTGGCCCTCGCCACGTCGGAACCCGCACAAAAGTCTCGCCGGCCCTTTTCGCACCGCATCGCGGGTGTAACGGGAGAGTTTTGGCTTCAGCTAATTCGATGCGGCGGGGGTTCAACACAAAGGGGGCAGTCCATGTCTTGGCGGGTGGCGGTGACCCAACTGGGCTTGTCACATGGTGAACACTCGCAAAGTTGTTGCAGTTCCACAGATTTCGATGCAGGGGGGTGCGTACGGCCGCCGGCTTTATTTTTACCAGAGATTTCCTGCCTTTTTTGCTGCCTCTTCACCCACTTATTTCCCCTCTCTGACTTCCTATATGACCGTGGCAGAGGAGAGGAAAGAGAAGAAATGAAAAGATGGGGATTTGGTGTGGTTTTTTTTTTTGGGGGGGGGGTGCAATAGTGGGGAAGTGGCAATAATGAGGCCAAAAGCGCGAAAGGGTGCAGAAATGGTCAAAATCTGAAAAAAAAAGGCAAGAAATGGATGGGCCTTGCTCCACCTTTTTTATTTTTCGAATACATCTTTTCACAAATTTTCTGTCAACGTGTCGGGAAGCCGGGAAATGTTGGTAGAAAAGGCAGGCAAAAGTTGGGGGGGGTGCAGGGGGGGGGCGAATGGTCAGCGATGATGTCATGTGCAGTGCAGGGGCGGCCAAACGTCCAAAAGGGTCAAAGGTCAATCGGTCTGAGGCGGACGCAACATTTGCCTCGGCCGCCCAAGGGGTCGCGAACTCCGCCGGTGAGGAATTGGCATCGATGGGTAACGGGGATGAAGATCCAAAACTTTGCATGACGGCGACCGAAACCTCCAGCGGGAAAACAAAAAACGAGGTTTGTGTGTCTTTTCTGCATGCTTTAACTTATTCCTTTCCAAATAAAACATCAACGCTTGGACTGGTTGATTTCTTCCGCCATCGCTCGGAAACCAATCGGCGAGGACGACGTCATTTGTTGTACGCGGGGCATCCGCATCGTGCAAAACGCGCTTCTCTTTGCAAAACGTTGGCATTTTTAGCCGAAAAAAACGACATAGTATAGTAAGGCAATTTTGGCACGAAAAAAACGACATAGTATAGTAAGGCGTTTTTAGC